AGAAATAGCTGTTTAATACATAAAATCCTAAACATAACCACTAGAAGAGATAAAAACAGATTAAAATATTTCCAAATTGTCAGAAGGAATACACACCCTTACACCACAATTTCCAAAATAAAAGTAGGAATGTCATACAAGAGAGTCATGGTTTATTACCACTCACTGCCTCACTTTCGAAATTCTCTATTGGTGCTTCCTTTGCCTCCCAAATAAACTACTTGCACTTGAACCCTTAAATCAGGATTTGCTTGTATAAAAACTTAAACTAAGACAGCTGGTACCAGAAGTGGTTCTTAGGATGCAGATTGTTGAGATGAGATTCTGGAATCAGATAATTCACTGGATAGACAGCAACAAAAGCCCATTGCTAGTGGAATGAGGTGGTTATAACCATTGGTATGCTCTAGCATCACAAGTGCTAAGACTCACCTGCAGTGAATTGGGATGGGGTACAGGATAAAGATGTGCACTGGCATGAGCAATTATCTCTAGCATGTGAGATATGGTGAGCAATGGTAACTATTGGACTATGAAATTGTTGTTGTTAAATGTCATCAGTATGCTAAAGGGTGAAAATAAACTCAGATCATCCAATTTTCAAGTCAGGGCATGGTGTCAAAGGCATCATTTAAAAAGACTTTCATCTACAATTAGAGGCCAGACTGCATGAAAATTCAACCAAAGAACCAGTTTGTGAGAAGTATCAGTGAAGACGCTGAGTTCACAGCCTCAGCAAGTCTCATGTAAAAAAGTCAGGACTCCAATAAGAAAAGAGTTGGATACTGAAAATTGGGATTAAGACATCCCTGTGGATATGCCTGAGATATTTCAGTTCTCCTGAAGCCTTGAATCTGCAGAAGTGGCCCTCTCTCCCTTGCTGGAAGATAGCAGCCTCCCTTTACCAGGAAATATAAAGAGGGCTCACCTGAGCCAGATGCTTCAGAGAAAATAATTGTTTTTCTCAAGATCTAGTGCTACCTCCCTCATGGCTTTTAGACTTAATAACAGGAGGCAAGGCTCAGACTGGTGTGATCTGATGACAAGGGAGAAGTAATTGGTTCTGCTTTCAGAGGAAAATGATTATTCACCAGAAGAGTTATTGGACTTGGCTAATATATATTAGCCAGAGCTGGAAAAAGATATGGGGGGATATATACATCTTGAGGGTAATGTACTTAGGTTGGGACAAAATATAAATCTACATAAAGATGACTTTACCAACATGGAAAATCTCTGGTGACTCAGAAATGAGCTTGCAGGCAAGGCACAAGGAGCTGATCCTAATACACTATTAGGATGTTTCCTTGAATCTTAGAGGCAATGTCAGCATACTTATAAGTGACATAGAGATACTTTTACTGCCATGGCAAAGTGTTGAGGAAGGAGCCCAAAATCTTAAAGGTGTACGGATGCTTGAAAAGGATTTATTATATAAGACCAAAGAAGGTATCAGATTACTGTATTCCCTGAGAAGACACAAAGAACACTTCTTTCACTAAAGTAATAAAGAAAACATTACTATACCTCCAGTAAGGGATTAATATGCAGAATGTGCAAGGAACTCAAACAACTTCACAGTAAAAAAACAAATAATCCAATTAAAAAATGGTCAAAGGAGATGAATAGACATTTTTCAAAGGAAGACATACAAATGGCCAACAGTTACATGAAAAAATGCTCAACCTCACTAAACCTCAGGGAAATGAAAATCAAAACCACATTGACATACCATCTCATTCCAGTTAGACTGGCTATTATCAAAAAGACAGAGAATAACAAATGCTGGCAAGGATGTGGAGAAAAGGGAACTCTTCTACACTGTTGGTGGAATTGTAAATTAGTGCAGCCATTATGGAAAACAGTATGAAGGTTTTTCAAACAACTACAGATAGAACTACCACATGATCCAGCAATCACACTTCCCAGTATATACCTGAAGGAGTGGAAATCATTATTTCAAAGGAATACCTGCAATCTCGCGTTTACTGTAGTTCTGTTTACAATAGCCAAGAGTTGGAACCAACCTAAATTCCATTACTGAGGACTGGATAAGGAAAACATGGTATATTTACACAGTAGAATACTACTCTGCAATAAAAAAGAATGAAATTCTGCCATTCACAGCAACATGGATGTACTTAGAGAAAATTACGCAAAGTGAGATAAGCCAGGCACAGAGAGAAATACCTAATGTTCTCTCTCATAAATGGGAGCTAAGAATGAAAGAAGGAAGAAAATAAAGACCACAATAAAATATTGAACTTTCAGAGGGAGATAACAGACCTATAGCTACTAGAAGTGGGAAGGGGGCGAGGGATAGGAAATAATTGGGAAGGGGACACAAAGAATAGTTATGATTTATATTTATAAATCATATATATATTTATATATATAGTTATGATTTAATATAATGATGAACATGCTAATAATATTGATTTGATCACCACATATTATACACAAATATTGATAGTCAACTGTGTACCCCATATATATGCATAATCAATTACATTTCAATTCAAAAAATAAATTAAAAAGAAAAAGAAAAACATTACAAGACGAATTCCGGCTTGGTGAGAAGTTCAGTGATATGAAATGCTTCTATGGACCTACACTTCCTGGACTCAGTTGAGCATAACAAGATTCTAGAACACTTGAATCTAGAAATTAATGCCACCACTAATGACATAAAGGATACAGCACAGGTTGTCATTATTATTTTTCTATTTAATTCAGCAGTCTGGCCTCTGCAGAAACTGGATGGCTCCTGGAGAATAACTGTAGACTGCCCCAAGTTCAACCAATAGTAGACCCAAAAGCAGTGCTATACCATGCATGGGATCGTTTATAAAGTCTCCAGTACATGGTTTATAGTCAATGATTTGGGGACTATATTCTGCTAGAAAAGAAGATAAGAGACAGTTTACATTCACGTGAGATGAACAACAATGTTCATTCACTATTTTTTCTCAAAGCTACGTTAAGTCTCTTACCCTCCTTCATAATATAGTCTGAAGATCTCTGATCACCTAAGCATCCTCAAAACATCATACTGATCCATTACAATGATAACATCATGCTGATAGAGCAGTTGCTAGAGTTTTAGAGGCCTTGTTAAAATACATGTGCTCCTATGGGCATGAAATAAACCCTATTAAAATTCAGGAACTTGACACTTTGTAAAATTTTTTACAGGTTCAATTCTCAGGGGCATACTAAAACACCCCTCTCCAGAGTGAAATTTACAAAGAAAGAGGCACAGTGTCTTGGGAGGCCTCTTAAAGTTTTGGAGGCAACATATTCTATGGCTGGGAATATTGCTTCAGCTTGTATACCAGTGGCACAGAAGTCTGCCAGCATTAATTGGGATGCATGACAGGAAAGGGCTCTGCAGCAGCTCCTATTTGCAGTACAAGCAGCCCTGTTGCTTGTGACACATAATAGAACAGATATCACGATGCTGAAAGTTGTCATGGCGAGAAAAGAAGCGGTATAGAGCGATTACAAGCCTCAGTGGGAGATTAACTCAGGTCCTGGATTCATGAGCAAGTCCATGCCATTCATTGCAAAAAAACCCTTACATCTTTGGGGTAACTGCTGCTGGTCTGTTTATGGGCCCCGATCAAGGAGTGCTTGCACAAAGGGCATCATCTGGCCATGAATCATGTAGCCATGCATCCATGAGCTGGATCCTATCAGATTCTCTAATAAATGAAGTCAGACAAGCATAACAGCAATCTGTCATATGATGAAATTGGTACGCTTGGATTGAACCCAAGCAGAACCAAAAGACATGGGTAAACTATAATTCAAATATATATGAATAGAAGTTTTCCTTTCCTACCTCCAATGCCACTCCCATTGAAGTAATCAATGTCGGCAGGTTGGTGTGTATCCATCATAGTTCTCCCTGTGTTCATAAACACATGCATATACATGCACATTTTAATTATTATATAGGTTTCACCTTTTAAAAAATGTGATTAGGGCTGCACATTGATCTACAACCTGATTTGTTTTCATCTAACAGTGACTGTATACAATAGTTCTCTCCAGGTCAGTCCATGAATACCTAATTAATTATTTTTATTTGCTGCACAACATTTCACAGAAAGAATATATTTTCCTAATGATGGCTATTCAAGTTATTTAATTTTCTTTGCCACTACACATAATGCTGCAATATATGTAATTTTATGCATTGACCTTTATATTTCTGTGGCCTAGATTTTTAAAGGAGGAGTTTCTGAATTAAAAGCCACATAAATCCATCATTTTAAATGAAAACTCTCAAATTATTTTTTTGAAAATGGAGGCATTCACACTATCAGCAGTAAATAATGAGTGTACATAGCAATATAGCCAAATGGCGTCACCATCATTGAAAACTATGTTTCATCTGCATTGAAAGATACTGCATTAGCATTTTAATTTTTTCTTCTTTACTTAACCAAAAATGATGTTGAACATATTTTTATATATTTCTGGCAATTTGTATTCCCATTTTTGTGAATTATCTGTTCATTCATTAGCCCATTTACCTATTTTATTAGTAGTATTATGAATTTTAGTTTGTGCTTTGAATATTAGGTACACTACCTCGTTGTTTGGCACATGTAAAGTGGTATTTTCTCTCATTTTATTATTTCCCTTCTAATACTGTCTATGGGTTTTTGATCATTCCTTCATAACTTCTAGTTTGCATTTCTGGATTAGAAAATATTCACACACTGAAAATTGCACAAACATTCACTTACGTTTTCTTCTACTATATTTTTACATTTATATCCTCAATCAATTTCTATATTATTTCATCACCCCCATCATGTCACAGAGAACAAGACTGAGGCAAAAAAATACTTGAGAACTTCTTCATGTTTAAAATAATCTGTGAACCAGCAGAACCAGGACTCACATGCAGGATCTGATTCCCAGTCCAGTGTTCTTTCCATTATATTTTTTCACCAACATCTGTGGTACAACACAAATAAAGTCCTATTTTACATACTTATTAGAAAGTTTTTCTTTCCAAACTTTCTCCTGAATGCATCTTTCACCTCCTTGTTCCTTAAGCTGTAAATGAGGGGGCTCAACATGGGGATTATAACAGTGTAAAATAGAGAAATCACTTTATTGATATCCAGGGAGGAGCCTGAGCTAGGTTGAACATAGATAAAGAAAAGAGTCCCAAACAAGATGCAGATGGCTGTCAGGTGAGAAGAGCAGGTGGAGAAGGCTTTCCACCTCCCATCTGCAGTCTGGATCTTTAAGATGGCCACCAGGATGCAGACACAGGAGACCATGATGATCAGGCCAATGAGTACTCCTATAGCTCCAGCCACAACAAAAAGCACCAACTTATTGATCCAGGTGTTGGCACATGCTAAGGAAAGCAGCGGGGAAATATCACAGAAAAAGTGATTGATGACATTTGGACCACAGAAGGGTAGGCGAAAGGTGAGAACTGAATGAGTCATGGTGCTTATAAGAGCCATGGTATAGGGCCCTATAACCAGCTGAACACAGACTCGATGGGACATAATGAGTGTATACAGCAGGGGCTTACAGATGGCCATATACCGATCATATGCCATGAAAGCCAGGAGGAAACACTCAGTTGCCACAAAGAAGCCAAAGAACCACATCTGAACAGAACAACCCATGAAGGAGATGGCTTTTTTCTCTGCCAACATGTCACGCAGCATCTTAGGAGCGATGGAAGAGGAGGAGCAAATGTCTACAAAGGACAAGTGGCTAAGGAAAAAGTACATAGGAGTGTGGAGTCTGGGATCAATAAATATGAGAGTGATCATCCCCACGTTACCCCCCAGTGTGACGAGATAAACAAAGAGAAGCATGACAAAAAGGACAATCTTCTGATGAAGATGATCTGTAAGGCCCAAGAAAAGAAATTCGGCCACTGCTGTCTGATTCTTATCCTCCATTGGTCAGTAGTAATCTGTCCTAAGAAAGGAAATAATAATTTTTATTACAAGAAATCAATTATTAACAGCTACAAATAATATTTTAAGCCAATGAAAAATTATTTTAAACAATTCTATAACAGACAATTGTGAAATATTGTTGAACGGGGAGATAATATTCCTAAATACTGTGTTTGGGCAGTTGTGCAAAACTTCTGTGTAAACTTGGGCAGTTTACCCTCGATCTCTTTGGATTCTGTACCCTCTCCCATCAAGAGTCCAACTACATGATCTGAAACTCCCTAAGATTATAAAATTCTATTTGAAATGAGAATCACTGTCCACATTTTATCTTGCTGTATAATGTGATTATAAAACCCATTTAGGAATACCCTTCGTGGGAATACAGCAAAAACCAATGAGATGCTCAGATCCTAACATTAGGCACTAGGGAAAGGCTAAGCAGGGGAGCGCCTGTTTTAGTGGGAATACAGCAAAAACCAATTAGATGCTCAGATCCTAACATTAGGCACTAGGGAAAGGCTAAGCAGGGGAGCACCTGTTTTTACTGAATGATCAGTAACAACCTAATGTTATGAAGACACAAATCATATATGTGTGTATCAGTCTATTCCCTACTCCACCTTCTAAAAAGATGTAAAAAGATAGTATGCACACTTTACAAAGAGGTTGCTCATTCTGAAGATTACTAGAAACAAATGAGAGTGGTTTATAGTCCTAAATATCTGCCCTTGAAAAGAGAGAATAGATTCCCCCTATGACAAATGAGAAATCAAAAGAGGCATCAAGAACCAAGAGTATAAGATGTCAGATGGAGAACAAATGACAGGGGATAGAAATTTCTCCACACAATTTCAATAAAGGGATATGATTCATGGATGGAATTGAGATTCCCTGCATTTGAAATCAAGTAATTGGGAAAATGTTGGATGGCACCTTCTCATGGAAATTGTATAGAAAATTAAGCATCTGTTGAGCTAAAATAATGTAGAATTATTTTACATAATTTTTCATATTTTATATAAATTTATTTTAAGTCATTTATCCTGAAATCTGTCTGGCAATATCAATTATAATAATAGCATATGTGAAATGTCAAGTGCTTAATATTTAAGCTGGGAAAACCCTCAAGAAAACATTTTTTTGTCACTCATTAGTGAAGAGAGAACAAAGAAAAACTTTAAAATTTCTAGAAGAATACTATTATATAGGACAATTTATATGGAAAAAATCTAGTCTATAAAACAATCACTTCAGTTAATGTCCTCTGTAAATAAAATAAAATAAAAGCAATATACCACTCTAGTTATTCAATAATTAATATGTGAAGCTCAATATATACTATTTTAAAATAATTAATAAGTAGTGACTGCAACTATTCAGTTTAGGATTATTTTATCATTGTCACAATTCTTTACTTAATGCTATGTAGAGTGTATTTTCCCAGTCACAAGGACTATTCTAGGCTAATGTTAGGAGCATTATCCATTGCAGAATGCTTTTGTTTATGCTGTTCCAAATATGCCAAGGCAGGTATATACGAATAAGGGGCAGTACAGACTGCTTCGAGTTTTAGTCCAATTACTATTTATTTATCTGAATGTAGTTTATTTTGAGTCTTCTCTAAAATGAAGAGAATGATCTTTATGCCTTTTCAATGTCTAACATTCTGTGGTCTTAGAATTCTTCATGGACATTATAGTATCTCTCTCTTTTTTCTTTTTTTTAACAGGATTACTTATTTATTTTTAATTGACAAATCAAAAGTGTATATACTTCTTATGTACAACATGATGTTTTATATATATATAATAGTGAAATGGCTAAATTGAGCTGATTAACATGCATTACCTCACATACTGATCATTTTTTGCAGTGAGAACACTTGAAATCTACTCAGCAATTTTCAAGAATGCATTACATTTGTCATTAACAACATCTTATATTATGTGTGTGTGTGTATGTGTGTATACACACAAAAAAAAAAATAACCAGGAAATTTAGTTCAAGAAAAGTTGCAAAAACCAATTTGTTTAATATCATAAAGTTGGGAACAAAATGCTGAAGTCTGCCTTATTTAGAAAACCAGGGGTGGGAGAATATGTCCCCAAAGTTTAAACTCATCCTGATGTTTCTCTACCATATTTCAAAACTGTTGTATCATCCAAAATGCAATGTACTCACTTCTTTAAGTATATCTTTCATATATTTTCTTTCACTGCTTCAAAGTAAATGATCACACAAACAAAGAAACAAAACACAAAGTAAATGATCATTCTCTGGAAAAAAGGATGGACGATTCAACTTCTTTAAATGGTGGTAACATCTCCCAAGAGGCATGATTTCCTAGGCGGCTGTTGAAAAAGAAAAATCTTCCATTTGGATGAACCTAAGTGTACAGACATATTCCTTGACCTGCACATTGATTCACATATGGCACAGAATAAGGGACATTTTCTTGAGAGTTTTGAATAATTTAGAGCCAGGTCCCCAACGAACTTAAACCTCAGGAGTTTACACCTGAAGGGACAAAATTAAGATGATCTCTGTGGCATTCAGTCCAAGTATCATTTCCAATCTGTGTCTTTTCTCAAAGAGAGGATTTCTAAGAAAACTGTGTGTGTGTGTGTGTGTGTGTGTGTGTGTGTGTGTGTTCCCCTTTGGAATCTTCCTTGCCAGAGAGAATGCTCTTTTCCAGCAGTGGATAGATGCATTGTACAGCTGCTGGGGAAAATGCCAAAATAATTTTCTCATAAGGCTGTTTTGTCCTTGAAGTATTATTTTGTCTTTGAAACAATATTTGCTTGTTACACTAGTCACTACTTGACTTTTGGCTTCTGTAACTGAGTTTGCTTATCTGCCTAGACCACATGAATTTTGAGAAATGAAATTTACTGCTATGCTAGCCTTGTAAATGTGTTGCCTATAAAAGCTTTGTAAGACCTGAGCTCAGGGTCCAGATTTCCAAGCATTAGCTTATCTGGGCCCACTGTAATAATAAAACACCTGACTTTCCAACCCTCTGTGTGCCGACTGTTTCTTGGTCCAGTCCATTTCCATATCACAGCCAGAACCAACTGGGGATGAAAGGGTTTGCTGCCTGGAACCTGGATCCCCATCATCTGGGTGTAAATCTCAATTCTACAGCTATATTGGCTGTGTCACATTGAACACGTTTTTAAACTTGTCTATGCATCCTTCCCTTAATCTCTAAAATAAACAAGAATTTCTACCTCACAAAAATGCAGTTTAATAACATTTAAACTACTTAAAGGAGTGTCCAACAGAGAGTAAGTATTCATTAATGTCACTTATTAGGGACTTTGAGCTTAGTTGGGAAGATAACACCTAGACATTAAAACAAAACAGCAGTATAAAGCAGCACTTGTTTACGTTTAGGCACAAATTTAAAAAAAGAAAATGTGAGTTGGAGTAGATGAAAAAAGTTTCACGGAAGAAATTGTCTGGAAAGATAAGTAAAATTTAGATAAATTGAAGTTAAAAAGAAATGCATTCCAGGAAATACTAATGAAATGAGCAGAAGCAGAGAATCAGGAACAGAAGCAAAGAATTTGTTTGAAATGGAAGAGTCACAATGAGAGGAGAAAATGGAGAGTCTGATGATATAAGTTGAACTACCTCAATCACCACCTTCTCTGAGAATTTCTTGTGTATCCCATCAGGATGAGCTGATATCTCATTCTATAAACCCCCCTAAAATTTTATTGGCAGTTCATTTTTAGCTTTCATTAAACACCTTTCTCAGAAGGTTGTCAATAACTGGTGTTGTGCAAGTATTTGTTGAATTAATAGAAAATAATCCCCCCAAATTTTAATTAATAATGGTTTATTTTTAGCAATTAAAATTATGTTACATATTTTTAATTGAAATGTTAAGGCAAAATATTTCTACCTATTATTCTTCTTAAAACCAATTAAAAGCAATAAGAGAAACAATAAAAAGAGACTTAAAAAATGACACTTTAAACCTAAAATTTAAGAAGTAATAATGCAAAGTAATGGAAAAAGATATTTTATTAACATAGAATTAAAGGAAAATTCTTTATTATTACATTTTTAAAAACGATAACATAGGGGTATTGAAAAAATAAATATATTATATAAGGTGGTAGGAAGTAAGCTGGTTGAGACCAGGAAAGAAAATTATGTGAGAAATGTCAGTCACATGAAACAAAAACAGAAAAGGAGTGTAGACATTACTTAATACAATTATGAACATTGATGACATGTTTTAGAAAATTAAAAAAATATAAATACAAAAATAAATTACAGCTTAGAGGATGCAAAGTAAAGAGAACTCTCATACATTGTTGGTGCGCATGTAAATTAATATAGCCATCATGGAGAACAATATGAAGGTTCCTCAAAAAACTGAAATCGAACCACTTTATGACTCAGCAATCCCCCTAGGAAGTTAAATCTGTATATGTAAGAAATACCTGCACTGTTGTGTTCATTGAAGCCCTATTCACAATAGCCAAGAGAAAAAAAAATCAATTTGTTTATTAACAGATGAATGAATTTTGAAAAGTGGTATATACACACAATGGAATACTATTCAACTATTAAAAAAGAATGATATCCTGTCATTTGCATCCACATGGATGGAGATGGAGACCATCAAGTTAAGTGAAGAAAGCCACACACAGCAATATCACATGATCTCACTCGTATGTGAATTCTAAAAAAAAAAAAAAAAAGTGGTTCTCATAGAAGTTGAGAGTAAAATAGTAGTGAATAATAGCTACCAGAGGCTGGGAAGGGAAGGGGAGAGGGAAAGAGGTTGGTCAATGGGTACAAAGTTACAGGTAGCTAGGGAGAATAAACTCTGGTATTCTGGGATAACCATAGCTAGTAATATGACCATAGCTAATAATATTGTGCTGTACTTCTAAATATCTAGAAAAGAGTCTCTTTACTGTAATAATCACAAATCAATAATGTTTAGGTGATATATATGCTATCGGCCCTAAATGGAG